CCTGCAATGGTGTGTGATTACACAATGATTACATAATTGTTGAGAATTCAATACTGCAACGGCGTGTGACTGCACTCTGAAACATAATTGTTGAGAATTCAATCCTGCAATGGTGTGTGATTACACAATGATTACATAATTGTTGAGAATTCAATACTGCAACGGCCTGTGACTGCACTCTGAAACATAATTGTTGAGAATTCAATACTGCAACGGCGTGTGACTGCACTCTGAAACATAGTTGTTGAGAATTCAATCTTGCAATGGTGTGTGACTGCATCTGAAACATAATTGTTGAGAATTCAATCCTGCAATGGTGTGTGATTGCACTCTCTGTACATAATTTATGAGAATTTAATACTGTAATGGTGTGTGATATTCATTGTTGCAAATTCCATAATTCTATGGTGTGTGATTGCATTCTGAAAAAATAATTGTTTAGCATTCAGTATGGTGTGTGATCGCTCTCTGAATACATAATTGTTGAGAATTCAATCCTACAATGGTGTGTAATTGCACTCTGAAACATAATTGTTGAGAATTCAATCCTGCAACGGCGTGTGATTGCACTCTGGATACATAATTGTTGATAATTCAATACTGCAACGGCCTGTGACTGCACTCTGAAAAATAGTTGTTGAGAATTCAATCCTGCAATGGTGTGATGTTGCACTATGAAACATAATTGTTGAGAATTCAATCCTGCAATGGTGTGTGATTGCACACTGGATACATAATTGTTGAGAATTCAATACTACAATGGCGTGTGACTGCATTCTGAAACATAATTGTTGAGAATTCAATCCTGCAATGATGTGTGATTGCACTCTGAATACATAATTGTTGAGAATTCAATACTGCAACGGCGTGTGACTGCATTGTGAAACATAATTGTTGAGAATTCAATCCTGCAATGGTGTGTAATTGCACTCTGAATATATAATTGTTGAGAATTCAATACTTCGACAGTGTGTGATTGTATTCTGAATACATGATTGTAGAGAATACAATATTGTAATGGCGTGAGATTGTGCTCTTACAAAATACATAATTGTTGATAACTCAATACTGCAATAGTGTGTGATTGCACTCTGAAACATAATTGTTGAGAATTCAATCCTGCAATGGTGTGTAATTGCACTATGAA